GCCGCGTTTTTTTTTTTTTTTTTGAAAAAAAGGCAAAAAAAATTGGCCCTTTCGAGGGGGGCAAAAAAGGGAGAACCGAGGGAAAAGCACCCAACCCCGGCTTCCCGGGCAAGGTTCCTTTTTGTACAGGGGGAAAAATCGCCCGGCTCAGGGGGTTGTTTTTTTCCCCCTTTTTTTCTCCCTTTATTTCCGGGGGGGGTAGGGGGTTTTTTCTTCAAAAACCGCTTTTGGGACCCTAGGGGGGGAGCGAGGAGGGGTTTATTTGGGGCCCTTTTTCTTTTTTTTTTTATGTAAATTGATTGGGGTTCGGGGATAGGGATTCCCACCTTTTTTTTCGTTTCCCCTATAGGGGGGGGTTTTTTTTTCATTTTCCCCTCCCCCCCCCCCCCCCCTCCCCTTCGTGGCGCGCTGTGCGTTTGGGAAAAGGTTTTTTTTTTTGTGTGTATGTGTGTGTGTGCAGGATCGTAGTGGTGGGGTGTGATGTTTTGTCAGGGAGGAGGAGGACGAGCGTACACGGGTGATTTGAACTGTCGCCCTGACTTCGTGGTAGCGCATCTGCTACTGCTGTTTGGTGGTGAGCATTAGACTTGTTGTGATTATTTTTCAGCTGGTTAAATTGGCGTTCTCAACGTTCCGGACGTGCCGCCTTCAGTGTGGTGGTGCGGTGGGACTGCGGGCGCAAAGTATTTTATTAGTATGAGTGTGACGATTGTGTTGCATGTTGGTCGATTTGATTCTTCGACAATCAGTGTTTGTCGTGTGTGGAACGTGGTACACAATACCCGGGCAAGGAAGCATCTCTCCGCACCCACAAGTTTGAGTAGAGCGTCCTCTTTCGGCCAACCCGATTGTTTTCCTTCTACTCATAACCGCTTCTGCTGCGTTTGTTGGGGGAGGGATGGGGCTAGCTAGGTCGCGTGCTACGTGGCGATCGCTCTCTTGCCTTCGATGTGACGTAGCATTACCAGCCCAGACTACCGCGGCCTTGTGGGTCCGTCTTTGCTGTCGGTGCCGTTAGAAAAGAAATGTTTGTTGTTCTGTGCGCGCGTTGTGCGTTCGTTGTCATGCCCTTGGGATGCGACTGGTACCACCGCAGTTGGTGCGTACACCGAGTTACCATACCGTACCATCAAGGTCCATGTTGGTATGATCTTGATAGGACAGTGTGCATCTATGGCCTTGCGATTTAGTTTGCATAGGTTGTATGGCATCGCATGCTTTAGATGTGTTGCTTGATTAATGTGATGTTTTGTGTCTCATGGTGGAAAATGTCTACGCTCACGGCCCACAGAATTTATCTCGTTTATAGTCGACAAAATAATCTTGAGCAATTTTGAAGGAGGGTTTATGGCGAGGGCTGAGAGGGGGCGGGGGCGGAGTAACCGCAACAGTTATTTTTCGGGCGGGGGTTTGCAATTGTGACCCCACGTCGTGTGTTGTGTGACTCTTTCGTTCCCTCTGGTCCACAAAAGAGGAGAGCTAATACTGTTACCTTATGCATCGGTTCGTAAGCGGGAGTTTGCACCACAAGACTGACTTTCTCAATTTGGGGTTTGGGTTATTTCGTTGTTTCAAGGGTGCGTTTCCGGTTGTGTCACCAGTTGTATTGCCATGCGTCTAGGGAACGAAGGAGTCGGGAGGTGAAGAAAACATGTTATGCTTGTCGAAAAACACGGCGTAGCTGCTCTTTGCCAACGGGTGCGCAAGGAAAGAGGCAACGTGGCAGCATTTTAGATGCGGAAATTCGCCAACAAGGTGACCGTCAATGCGTGGTGTGTTACGTGGCGACACTTGCTCCGCGCACGAAGTGCTGAGTTCAAGCAAAGGTGATGCTATGCATTGGGTGCGCAGAGGGCGACGAGCGGAAGAATCTTAGCGCCGCATGCTGCGTCACCCCCCCCCACCTAAGAGAGCAAGGCACGGTTTGATCAAAACAAGTTTCCCGACAAATGTTTCGTGACCCTAAACTGCTGTGCGAAGTGCAGGTGTGCATCAGCTACGCTTCCTTCAACCCACCCTTGTAGTCAAAAACGTAGATGGAAATTTCGAGAACCTACTGCTAGACCCGTCGGGAAATTGGAGAAAAAAAAAAGGTTTGTGATCATGGCGTGCACCAAAGGCAAACAGATGAACAGTCCAAGGTACGTAGCTCGGCACCGTCTTCCCGACTTCCGCAGAGACAAACGACGGCAGCTGCCTGCACCTGGTAGTCTGCGGTTTCACGTTTTTGTTTTCTGATGGTGCAGTAGACCCCGGTCAAACGCACCGATGCCACTTGTCCGCAAGAGGGGCACGTGGGTACGAAGGCGACGCCAGAGGTGAACGATCGCTCGCGAGCGAGCGCGCGAGATTCAAGTAGAGAGAAGTCATGATATGTGCCTCAACAAACACAAGCTGCGAGCGTCGGGACGTACTGACGACCGGAAAGTTGGCGGGCACGCCAAAAAAAAACAAAAAAAATCGCAATTGTAGATACCAAAGAAGATCGGAGGTGCACCCTAAGTCCACCCTCCGCAATGCGACACACGTGTGGTGGAGGAAACACATGCATTGTTAGCACGGCGGGGGAGCGCAACTCGGGGCTTCAAAAGAACGCCATCTCCTTCATTTCACGTTTGCACGCGATTCTGCAGGGTTCGTTTTCGGAAATGATATGGAAATTATCGACACATCTAGTTGAACAGGGCGAATGCACCAGTACGCATCCGCGAAAAAAAGAGCCGGCCACAGCCAGTCACCCACATACATGCGCATATCCATGTACCACACCCAAACAACGCGGCAGCTTCGTTGAACCGACCCCAGATTAAAAAAGCTTGTCCCCAAAAACGCCAAAAAAACTCAATAACCTCCTGCTCTCCGGGACAAAAGGTGCTTACAGATAAAACTACCGCGATGAACAAAGGGGGCACGACTCACCATCTCCGGGGCAAGCTTGAGTCGTTGGGAAATTGTTTCTGCCCTGGCAACGGGGTTCGCAAACATACAGAACCGACCGAAGAGCGCTTGGTAGTTCAGAACTCGAGCCTCAAAATTTCCAAATTAAAAGAACTTGGTCATAAGAACAGGTACTCCGTCAAGAAGCCTGCACTAGAACCTATATAGTCGCCGTGGGGATAGGTAACCCATGAGACAAGCTAAGAAACAAGCCTCGGCCAAATAGGAGGGTCTCAAGTGCGGGGCTTGGCTGTGCTAACAGCAGCAGCCACGCACGGCTGACTTGGCGTTTCTCCCAACTCCTCGAAAGTGGTAGCTGTGAAACCGTTGTCTCCCATTCCCATTCGAGACTATCCCGATTTCTCGCAAGCCTTCGGAGTAGCTGTGGAACATTTGTCTCCCGTTCCCATCCCGATTGCCTTGGTGAAGTGCGTAAGTGTTGCTCATCGCTTAGACCCACACGCCCTCAGACATCGACACCCCCGGCAGTTGGCTTGGTTTAGGGGGGCACGACCGCTTCCAAGAACAAGAGGTTGGGGTCTTCTACCCGGACGTCGCTGACGTCTCTGTACTTGATTGTCTTTCTTCCCAGCTTCTCGGCGTGATCGAACGCCCTCGCAGCCAACTTCTCCAAGAAAATCTCGCTGGTAGGATAGGAAGGGGTGTTTGTGGGTGGAATTACGACAGGGTGGGTCGGAAGGGCATTAGGGATTCGTGGTTCATATCGATACACAATACACTACATATCGTGTCGTGTCGACACTTGTGTAAAAAAATCGTATCGTTGTGTTTCAGTTTCGTTACGATACGAAAATTGACAAAAATAACCCCACGGAGCCCCCCAAGTTATCCACGAATCCTTGAAAATGCATCACTTTTTTGTTGTTTTCATGTATATTATTTAGATTGTTGTCGACGTGTGTACCCTTATTGGGCAGTTGGTCTAACACCAAAGAAGGCGTACGTGTCAGTTGGACCGCTACCTGATGTTAGAAGGTACTGAGCAGAGACCGGAACGGTTAACAACGTGAAAGAGATCATGTGAGAACCACAATCACAACAGCATATGTTGGAGCTTGCATGTGCAATGTGTGACCACTGAGATTAAAACACGGGTCAAACTTTTACCATGATCGAATTCGTTTTGAATCTTTCGATACCATGGAACACTATTTAGGGATAAACGACGAGTAACGACACAACAACAAATAATGCATGTAGGTAGCACCCACACGCACTTTGGCACTGTCCGATCGGTGAGGATAGATGTTGATGCAGATCGTAGGACGTTCACATGGTGGTGCGAGGCTCGACTTTACCTATGGCTTCTTTGACCGGCCGCCTCAGTCACACCAGGCAGAGCTAAGTCAAGCTGTAGGTTTCATTGGGCTCGTACGTACCACGTCCAGTTATAAACACGCCTAGACTACAGGTGAACAACACGGTCAGCAAGGAAGAAGGAGCAGATACAAACCGGCCCCCACCCACCGTTGCATTCAAGACTTCTGCGCCGGGCGGAGCCAAAGAGATAATCAGACCTAAAAACGAGTGTGTGTGTCTGGCTAGTAGCATGGACCGCGCTAACCGGCTGGCCAATGAAAATACGTCAGTCTCAGTGCGGTGTGTGTATTCGTCCCATCTATCCTGGCGCCGTAACAAAAAAGAACGAAGTAGACAGATCTTGCCTGGTCCTACGAACCGATGGTGCGGGAAGCGCATTTTGCTTGTGATGGAAACCACTTTGCAAGACTTGGAACATCAAGCCGCCTTCGAAGAGCCGCCTTCGAGTGAGGATACATCGACACCTACCCCAACAGAGATTGCTCGCGAAAAATTCTTGCGTCGTCCAAGACCGGGGCTGAGAGGGTCTTTCTCACCTGGCTTTGACAACAATGACCAAAGCCTCCTTTGAAATGTTTCGCGTCTCCTCGCCGAGCTTCATGATGCGCTTAACCATGCTCGGGGGTAGTCCCACCTGGAACCCGCACACGATGATGGTCCAACACCGAAGACAGGGACGAAAAATGAAGTCAACGAACGAGACGTGCGAGGAAGGCGAGGTTCGTGTTCGACCGACCCCCTACACCCAATGAAGCCACATTCGGGCTTGCGCTTGGAGGAGGTGCGGTGTCCACTGCTACCCCTTCCGGTCGTCCCCCGCACGGATTTGTCGCCGGTTTGACGCGAACTTTGCTGATCCTGAGAGCGCCAACGTTCGTGCTTGCCTCCCCCGGCGGGAACTAGTGCTGTCATAGTGCTTGCTGTCGACAATTGAGACGTGGCTGCCTTCCTCCAGCGCCCGAGTTTCTCGATTCGTACGGTATCTCTTGCTACTGCTGTAACATGCCGTTCTAAATCTCTTCACGGGGAGGCAACACTTGTGTCTAAGTGGGTCTCAAGTAAGAAGAAGCGCCATTTTCGGTACCCGTAGAGATGGCGTGTTCTTAGGCAGATTCTTTTGTTTGGACTATCGACCAGGCGCCTGTCTTCACATGGGGTCACCGTTCCTACTCATGAGGGAGAGACAGGTGCCCTTCACCCTACTCTACCCTCGCACGGAAACGCTGGCAGCTGATGGTTGAACGGGAACTATCGCAGCAACCACAAAAACGTTGTGTCATACTAAGGAAAATAAAAAAATAAAAAAACGCGGGACTGTGAGGCGGCGTGAGGCACATTCTGTGTAGGACCCGTAACATCTGCCCCATGACTCTTTAGAAAGTAGACTTAATCTCACAGAAAGACTACCCGTTCGAGATATGACCCCAGTCGAAAGAGATGTGCTCAAGTCTTTTCAGTGTGTGGAGGGAAACCGGCCGGCTGTGGCTCTTTCATTTTGTACCACAAATTACCACAGTCTACGTGATTTGTCCGCGGGAGCGGGGAGGGTGTTATCTAACAACATACGGGTAAAAGATATGCCGCGGATCATGCTGCTGGGTTGTCAAAGCAGCGTCAAGCGCGCACCGGTAACGGAGTGTCTCTCGGCCTCTTCGCCGACCGTGGTTGCGACCCCCCCTCCTTTTTCACCGCCCCTGACGCCGCAGAGGCTGAAGGTGTTCCTGGCTCATCCTTCGTTCCTCCCGCTGTTGGCACCGGATCTTGCCGAGCTTCAGCAGTGTCTGCTGCCGCGGGAACAGCAGTGCCGGTACCAACAGCAGTAGTAGAAGCAGTGGCAGATGTGGGAGTGGCGGCGGAAGAGGTTGCCTGCTCCGTATTGGTCGCTGCTGTTGCAGTGGGTGATGGTGTTGCTGCAGATGGGGGAGCGCTTGTACTGCCGTTGTTGTGCGACGAAGGCTGCTGCTCTACAGGCACCTGCCCTTCTACGCTCAACTGCTGCGTCGGAGGGACTCCCGGGTCTGGTTCCGACATCTCCATGGGAAAATTTTCAGTAAGTCCTTCGATCTTGCCCTCTTCACTGCTGATGTGCCTCTGTCTTGTTGTCGGCCCCTGCCCAGCCTGTGCGCACTTGCTTGTTGGGGGGGGCACGAGGAACGAAAACGATACACCCCCCCAGCGAAAAAAAAGAAAAGAGGCGGGGAGACATGTACCGGTTCACGTGAAACGCCCGCGCCGCGGAACTGCTGTGTCCAGACAACGCATGCACACAATCAAAGAATGCACCTACATGCTTGCCTACAGGGGTGGATTAGGGTCCACGGGTCCACATGATTCTCCTTCTCTGATCAATTGTACACACGCCCGCAAGTATTTCTAACCCTCTGCCTCGCTTGAGCCCGAGACGAGGCTTACAACGCGGCCCCGGCCGCTACTGCTGCTGAGAAAGGATGAGGATGGAGAGACTGAAGTCGGTCTTTACCAAGGATTCTTGCCAGAAGTATTACAACTTGACAAGGTGTGACGACTACCTGCTGCAAGGTTCTGCCGTTTGGTCTTTTCGTCCGTGAAACAAACAAGCAAGCAATCTGTCTTCATGGGGCAGGGTTAGCCAGATACTTACAACGTACAGGTCGTTACCAACCACTCACTACTGCTGCGTGAATATACTATATATAGCAGTTCCACACCAGATACTGGCCATGGGTCTGTATAGCAAGCAATACCATGGTACATCAAAACGTCTGAAGCCCTGACACTATTCGTGGGTAGGGCGAACCACCGGACTACTCACTGGCCGTTGCGTGAGTAGTCGAAGCGGGTACAACCTTTCAGCAGAGAACTTATGACATCGTGTCGACTATTTACTACCCGCGTTTGATCGCTAGTGAACTGCTTCCTGTCTGTCTCGGGTGTTTGCTGTGCGCCTCTATCTAGATCTACAGTACTTACAACTGTCTGAGAGAGCCATTAGACCATGTACGTACACTGTATTTTGTCGTACATAATTAATTGTAGCCTACAATTATTTTTGGTCATGTGGGAGATGTGTGGACATTTTTGTGGTGCGACAAGCACTTGTCCCCCCTTAATTTTCTAGATTATCGGTGAGCCTCCTTCTATCTACAGACGGACATCCGTTAAGACACGTAGACTACGTAGCCTATAGTAGTATAGATAGACATGATGTAGGGTTTATAGTTTCGGGGTTTGGGAGCCCAAAGGCATCAACCCCACGAAAGCTTTTGCCGACCAAACGTCATGCGCGACACTCGTCGTGCCACTGTTCTTCCCTCACCTAAGGATCCTTGGCAAGGGGTCATTTGCCACTGTCAAGCTAGCTGTGCGAAAGTCGGATGGCACCAAGTGGGCGGTAAAGGTTATCGAGAAAATGGCGCTGAGCCAGGAAGACGAGGAAGCACTGAAGAACGAAGTTCAAATTCTGGGGGTGAGGCAAATTCCACGGAAGATATGAGCTGCTTAGGTTGTGACCTTGCCATGACCTAACCTCACGATGACGCTGTCTTGGCGTTCACAGACAGGAACGGTTCACTCCCTTCGAAAATCTGCTTGTGATGATCTCAAGAAGGAGACGTGTTGTCCCACACGCTATCGAATGGCAACGTAGTTGACGTGCAGTTAAGGGTGTACTTCCTGTCAGTCAGGTGTTGTCAGGGCGGACGGTCCAACATAGAATCGCGTGCATTTCTTTGTGATTGGTTCATCCGCATTCGTGCTAACAGTGCCACCTCTGTTGCCTCCTCACATACAGGCAATGAATCACCCCAACATCGTTCGATTGAACCAAGTATTCGACTGCCAAAACTGTTTGTATATGGTCATGGAGCTGTGCACCGGGGGGGAGTTGTTCGACCGCATCGTCATGAAGGTGATGTGTGCGAACACCGACTGCTAGTCTCCGCACTGTGAGGAACCGATACAAACCCTAATATCTTCAATACGGGCTTCAAACAACTCGTCGCGTTTGCAAACAATGGTTCGCTGCGGGGCGACCAAATGATCCCAAGACGTTCGTCGCATGCATAATTTTGGTCAAAAGTAGTAATGGTTGCAATAACAGCTAACACACGCAGATGTTCAGGCCGAAGGCCCTTGGTCAACAAACCTGGTCTCCACGCCGCAAAGATCAACATTTCCCCCAGCACAAGCAGGGTCGTAGGCTGATGAATTAAGCATCACTTAAACGCAAGGGCACACCACATAGGTATGATTCTAACTACGCACACGCTGCGTTTTTGGTATATATGTCCATGCACAGGACCACTACACAGAGAATGAGGCGCGAGATTGCATCATCCAGATGACGAAGGCGATAATGTATTGCCACCAGAATGGAATCGTCCACAGAGATCTCAAGCCCGAGAACCTACTCTATAGCGACTTCGATGAAGGAACTGCCGTCCTCAAACTCGCCGACTTCGGCCTAGCTAAGGTGAGACTTGACTGACGAATGGCTTAGAACGTCCCGCCTGGTGTGTTCTTGCAGGGAGACCCCTAGCTGCGGAGGGTAGAGAGTACCCTCGCTGTCGTAAATGGAGCGGATCGGTCGAGGATGGCGTGAGAAGTACCTGTACGGCTAACAGCAGAAATATATTTCCTTTGTTGCGGACAACCTGTCGCCGCCCCTGGACACCACACTTGTGCACAAGTGTACATCGCCGCAGCCAGTGAGTAAGAGTCCTTGTCTTCTACGACGCACTATGCGAACACGCCCACGAAGTACAACACTCTACGCATCATTTTTTCCGATTACTCCGTAGACCGTTCTGGCACCGTGACTGTCTCGTCGCCATACCGGCGCCTTGCCCGCTTGAACCTCTGGCCCAAACGATCATACAGCTTTGTACGGAGAACACCATGCTGAACACGGCGTGCGGCACGCCGGGGTACGTGGCGCCTGAAATCCTGGAGGGCCGGCCTTACGGCAAGGAGGTGGACATGTGGAGCGTCGGGGTGATCGCGTACATCCTTCTGTGCGGCTTCCCTCCATTCTACGACGAGAACAACTCGGTGAAAGGAATCTTATTTTTGCAGTTGCTTTTGATTTTTCGTCGAATGCTTGATCTCTTTTGCCGAAGATTTGCTGGTGCGTCTACTGTATTGGGGCAACGCGCGTGGACCGATACCCCCTCACAGCATGTGTGCGCGTATCTTTGTCCGTGGTAAGACTGCTACTCTCCCCCGCCGTTTAGATGGGATTGTCAGCGTTCACACCTGCAAACCGTAGTGTGCAATACCCAGGCTGATGAATTCATGGTGGAGTTAAACTTCATCCAGGCACCTACGACCATTGTAGTGATAACCAACATATCTCTCATGGGCAGGGCAACAACTTTTCGATTTAACCATCAGGCCATGTTCAAGGCGATAAAGCTAGGCAAGTACGACTTCCCGAGTCCGTTCTGGGATGACGTCGATTGCGAGGCGAAGGACATGATCGGCTGCCTCCTGGTCACCGACGCAGCAAAGCGGTATTCTGCAGAACAGGTGAGGGACGGTAGCAGTGTAAGGTTTTCGTATCGTACGAGTTGTCACCATAGAGAGCTATGTGTTGCATCAACATTGTAGATAGAAACTCGACGCAAGGCTCTATCTTCTATTGGTATTGCGCGATACCACTTCAACCAATCACACGTTACGAGGCAAATGGGAGATGGCGCGCGCAGTTAGGGGTTGGATGACGACTCAGGTACAAACACCGCTGTGTTGTGCTAACTTCGTAGTTTCCGTCGCTTTTCTGGATTTTCGTACAGTTAGCGATAGGAGCTGCATCGACACAGCTGCTCTCCCGAAACCAGCCCGTAAAGTGGCCTTACAACTCCATACGTGTTGCTATAGATGTTGAGCTCCTCTACAAGAAGAACTCGCTCCCCCCACCCCAAACACCACCTCCATAGCCAAAGGTTCACGCTTCATTCCAGAGCAACCGTTCATGCTCGTTATAGCTACTTGTTTTTCACGTTGTTAACGCTCAGGACGAAAACAGTTTACCACAACCTCCCCGATGAAGAGGTTCAGAAACGCTACCCACACGGCGAGACTCAACAAGCTCACAGAGCTAAAACCTGCTGGCTGTTTGAACCTCCTTGATGACATGTCCTGTCCATACACTCCGCTCCCCTTTGCCGTTTAGCTGTTGCAACACCCGTGGGTGGCACAAGGACACACCGAGGCGGGAGAGCACAACCTGAACCACTTCAAGAACGCGATGAAGGCCTACAACGCGCGACGAAAGTTCAAGGCAACCATCATGACGGTGCAGCTCATGGGCACGCTGGGGAGAGCCATGAAAACGAGCACGGTTGAAAAAGCCGCCGCTGCAGAAGGCGACGATAGCAGGTGGTGTACGCCTCGGTTGCCGAAAAATGGTTGGGTGTACCAGGTTGGAACATGAACGAAACCGGCCATTCCTCTTTTTGGAAGATATAGTCATTTGTGTTTGCAACAAAAGCTTGGCGAGCGACACCGAAGATGTTCGGGAATCGGCTCATGGTTAAGAAGATCGGGAATCGGACCAGATCACCTCCTGGCAGACTGCAATGTGATCTCTGTTGGGTGGTTATTGGCAAAGACAATCAATCATTCACGTGCGATCCCCACCGATCATAAGGTAAAATAGCGTTCTGCGCAGCAGTACGGCACAGTTTTGGAATCTCATCCCTTTACAAGCACCACTTTTTACTCGAAAACATGCTGTGCGTACCCGGTCGAAGTTACTGCGTATCTTACCCGATATGTCCTTCACGAGCCACCTTTCAAGGCGCAACAGTAGAACACTGCAGCTAGCTCACTTATGATACCGTGTTTATGGTGTGTACTTCATAGAGCCCCGTGGATCGAGTTTCAGAGGTCGATTGCTCCGTGGGAGAGGAGGTACTGATCCCCCAAATTTCAGCGACACTGTTACTCCATCGCGAGCTTTCGAATACGGATAGTGGTTCGGTATTGGTACTTCTCCTGTGGAGCAACCGGGCTTTGAAAATTGCCTCAAGGAGGGCTATTTCACACCAACGGCTACCCTTTAGGTCAGCTGCTAGGGCGACATAAGATACTACAAACACACCAATTATCACACACCCCTTCCCGCTTTCGAATCTGAGACCCCACCTGGCTCCAACATGCCCACGAACCGCGTCGTCAACTCACTCTTGCTCCCACCCCTCGTCACCTCCGATATTTTCTTTTGTCGTGATGAGTTCCCAGCAACCCCGCAAAGATAGAGACCGAAGGACCGAGTGCGGAGGTTGACGAGCCCGTCGTGATAGAAACGACGTCGACAACGGTACGTTTCATCAACTTCCGACTCCGATGTAATCGTTGCTCGTTGCACTCGGCTCGAAAACCGTTACCTACGGCAATCGTCTAGAAGAGCTTCGTCGCATGAAAATCTCCCTCCGGGCGGTGATAGTAGGGATAAGGCCGCTCACGCTTGACTGTTGGTAGCTGCCCTGGTATTTGCTCCTTTAGCCTTAATCTGTATGTTTTGGTTTTTTACTTCCCAGTAGCGTTGCTTGCAAGGGGGAGCAGGGGAGAGGGAGGTGGCAGTTTCTTAGTCAAGGGGAAAGGAGGTCACAGATCGCGAACTTGTTGGAAAGATCACACATAATTGTTGTTCGCGGTGAAACGGATGCGTCATGGCGCATGCCCCTGCTGATCGACGTCGGAGGAGAAAATTGGTCAGAAACGCAAAAAAAACATGCAAGATCGTACGTAGTTGGAGGTAGCGTTGGCTTGGGCCGCATACAAATCAGTCAGAGGTTCGAAGTTGTTCAAACCACACGTTCACTTCACCTATAGTCTAAGGATTCCTCGCCACGGCTTCACGCACACGACCCCACCACGAGTCACCACCGAACACGTCAAGAATTCTGCAAAGCGGGTACCGTGTGGATGTACCAACAACATTTGCACATTTATGCCTACGGTGTTATTTACGTCTTCATCCTGGCATTTCCGTGCCGATTCGCAGGTCGGCGAAGACCCTGCGGCACAAGCCGACGAACCTCCTGCGGTAGAAGCCGTCGCACCGGACCAAACGCCACCGTGTAGCAGTTGACGGCCAGCCTACGATCGATGTGGCGCGAAACGTCGTTGTTGTGTGCGAGGAAGCTATGGCCGTAAATCGATGTTCTTTACCTGGGTCCATTTTTTCGTGAGACATCCATGACCGAAGAAGATGGTGCTGTCGATCATCCGCACACGGACGGGTGGGTGATGGCGGAAAACAGGGTCGGTTGCGAGGTTGGTTGTGTGTCGGGGCGTAAACGGTGGCGATGCTGCGTGGTCTACCGGGGGGGGAGGGGGCTGGGGTGAGTGCACCACTAACTGCCAGGATCGTCTATGTTGCAAACCTCACACGCTGGAGAGATAGACGATCACAGCCGTGCTTGGATCGTCGAAAGCAGGGGCGGTCATCAAGGGGACATTGCCATGAAGAGAGGTTGCGCGAAGAGAAGACTTGCTACCAATTACAAGGGAGCCCCCCGCCACCAGTGTAATGATTACCGATGTGTGTGCGTGTCATTCCATGTATTTTGGACGTCGATGTTAACATGTTTCGGTGTGTTTTTGGACGCACCAGCCGGGGGGGGTTACTCAGGAGGAAGATCACACCCTAGATTTATTTGTTTTTCTCCGCACTTTCTCCTTTGGCGGCCTTGAAATTGATCGCCAGAAGCATCCAGTGGTTTTCTCCCCTCGTAACGACTGTGAACTCGCTTTTTTACTTTCGTGTGTGTGTGCATACACACCAAAAACAATCGTTATTACGGTGAAAAGCGAGGGAGTCTTCTTGGTGTGACATGAAAAATGCTCTATAGAATGCATTTTGGAAAGCACGCATACTCTTGCACGCAGAGATTGATTGGTTATTGTGTGAATCTCCATCTCGTCTGTGCTCTCTACATCAGATTGAGTAAACTATTGGAGGCGATGGGTGCCCGTCTTTGCTTACCGCTTTCTTCGTGACAAATCCGTCGTCGTTACGCACCGTCCCGCACGATGACAACGAAGACAAGAATCTCTTCGAGGATTGATGGCACGCTTGCCTGAGCCAAGCTGCGTTGCCAATATGGTGTCTAGAGGGAGTCTTCCTCAACAGAAGGTGGGCAGATGGGATCTGCCCCCTTGACGAACCGTGTTCTTGTATGCCAGGTAAGGAAGACGACGACCTCCAGGGGTAACCGGAAGCCGATGGCTGGCAGCGAGTCGTCTGTCTGCGACCGCTGCAAAGCAACGTTGCCATGTCCACAACGGCATCAACGCCGTTGGTGTTGACCATGTACCGCATCGGGAGCCATACTTGGCGCTGCTGGCTCGTGATTGCTGGTGATTGTTGACGGCGATCATAGTCTAACCCTCGTCGCGATAAAATATAAAATGAGTGTTCTTTGAATATCCACAGAACTCTGCCTTTATTAACGTGGAAGTTGCCTTGCCTGTAGTCTATCTGTCAATGTCCCTCAAACCTTCAGATCATGATGTGGGAACGGCAAGGAGGTAGCTCATCTGTTGGCTATTTTCCATCCGCTTGTCTTCCCTCTCTCTGCGTTTCTCCTCTCTCTCTCGCTCTGGGAATCTGAGTCCGCCGCTGCTCTGTCCGCCAGGTGTTTTCTTGTGCTCGCCGCCTTCCATTTTGCGATGCCCCCATTGGGGGGGGTTGGGTGTCTCAGCTGCTGGTCCCCAGCTGATATCGCTTGTCGGCGCCTGCTGCGCTCTTTCTCCTCCCATACACACGCGAGAGGTGGAAGGATATTGACTCCAGTACGTGCTTAGAGCTACCGTGGGCAATTTCCCAAGACTTGTTCTCCCCAATCCACCCTACACCGCCCCGTCTCACACAAGGATCAAGGATATGGAGACTCTGTTGGCCAACAACCATCTTGGGTGAGGAGGCTGTAGGCTACACTTTTGAGAGCCAGAGAGCATCATGAGAGGATGGTGCGTCCACCGTTAGGCTAGCCATGTTGGTAAACCAAGCCCGAAAGCCAGCTGTCGCTTGACCTATATGCACAGCTGTAAAAGCCTGCCTGATTATGCGTATGCTGCCCGCTTCCTGAGCGGTTTTCGGGGATTGAAAGCATCATCCTATCCGGGACCACTTGGCAAGGCAGCGCACAGCGCGGTGAGGAACATCTGTGTTCTCGAAAGGGCTGGCCCTGCATCCTGCATCCCACCTTAGCTCACTGCTGCTGTTGTTGTCGTGTTGAGGTCCGAGGGCCGGCTGGATTGCCACCAAAGCTTACACATACGTCCTTTGAACGTGATGGTGCATCTGAGGCTAGCGTTGGGACAATCTCTACTTGTTGGCACCACCAACATCCCCTCAACCCGTCGACGCTCCATCCCCCTGTACAGTTGTATGCAGACATACGGTCAGCAGCGGTATACTACAACCTTGATCTTGTGTGGACTTGTGGACTTCATCATGCTTTCGAGTGTGGTCGCGAGACTGCTCTTCGTTTTCCCACGCTCTCCTGCGTCTCCCACGCTTGAACCATAATTCTCCCGTTATTGGTACAACATCGATCCCATTGGTTGCCCGTCTTCAACAAGCTGATTTGGTTCGCTCGTGGGAATGACGCCGGCTGGGGCGGAAGACGCTCTGTCGCTGTATATAGTCATTCCCGGGGAGGCAGGGAGGCACCTTCCCTGCTACCTGTTGCAACCTTTTTCTCTGCAAGTTTCACCCTCGGTCTATCACGTCATTCTACACCCTGATGATAGTTTTCTTGGGTGCTTTGTCGCCCTACTGCTGTATCGGGAAGATCTGGCGCCTCCGTGCCCTACAGGTCGCCCCCGAATCCTCTTGTTTTACCTCTAGCGCACTCGACAGATGGGTGACGAAACTCAGGAGTACGCTGACTGCTGTTCGTTGCTGCTGTCTGTTGTATTTAGTCCCGATGAGGGGCATCTGCACTCGTCCCTAGAGCCACCAGCGGGGGGAGACCACTCCAACAACAACGGCGGCGGCGCTGCCGCCGCCACCGACGGCCTTGCCGATAGCGCCAGCGGACCGGCGTACGAGTCCCTGTACAACGAGCCGGAGGATCTAACAGGCACCCGCCAGACGCTCATACAGGTTGGTGTCCCGTGGCTGCTGTAACAAAGCCTGGCGTTGATCGGTTCCCGGCGGCACGTCTATTCGTTCAACGGAGTTTCTGTCGTGTTGTTTCGACTGGCATCGCTCGAGACTTCGTCGCCCGAGGCCTTCAAGATTTCGCTCCTAAGTGCCTTCCCCGGGCGGAAGGAGCTCTGCTGATGGTATTTTTTTCTCCCTCAAGAACCACAATCGTGCTACTGATGAAGTGGTATTCGTAACGGTGGTGCGCTGGTTGGTCGCTCGCTTGTGCGCACCTAGATGGTCGACTGGCCCTGATGCTCACCGCCGCCTCGATATCTGACACCCACCAATCCTCCCCTTGCTAGCCTCACTACATACCTAGAATGACCCAGAGTTACAACCACACACACAAAGTGCGAAGCAAACATGACGACGACAATTGATCTCGCCAGCAAACGGGGATATTCTCAAAGTGGCTGGGGATCCTGGGATACCTCGACATCTCTTCGGTATTCTCCGCGAGGCTAAGTCGCTTGCCCGGTAGAGAACACGCCTACCACACCCCCGCGCACGTGTAGGCGATAATATACCGCACACCACCTCTATATTTTTTCCCTCGCTTTTTTTTCGCGGTTGGTGGTGGCAGAACCGGTACTGCTTCTGGTACTACCGGAAGGGTGCGCAGAAGGAGAGCAAGGACCCCAGTGAGGCGTATGAGAGCGGCATCAAGGTTGTCGACAGCTTCCAGACGGTGGAGCACTTCTGGCGCATCTACAACCATATCCTCCGCGCCGACCAGGTGTGCAGATGATTTTAAGTGTGGCTTTTGTGCGAGTCTCTGCGGTATATCTGACAGCTGTGAAGCGGTATGTGTATGATACTTTTTGTTCTAACAGCCGTAAAGCAGTATATATTCGAAGATGTGTTTTCTTGTCTACTATTCCGTTGGTGGCCTGCCTCTGTAAATTATAAGCTCTCGACACGACATTGCCTTTTTCTCTGTGGTTATTCACTCGGGGCAAGTTATAATAACACCAGAGTAGCAGAATACGTCTAAGCGATACACGCTAGCCCTTCCGGCGGTGCCCCGGACGCATGCCACAGCTTACTTCTCTGTTCCCGCTGCGTATGAGAGATCACCACTGCGTATTGATGGCAGTCTACCAACCTCTTTCGGCTGCCTCCCGCAAGTGTCATGTGCCCTCAAATCTGTCTTTCGTGTTTTGTCTTGTTTTTGGTGCCTGTTCTTTTTTCCCGCCCTTGCTTGCTTGCTTCCTTGCTTCCTTCCTTCAGGTGCCTAACGCAACCGATGTTCACCTATTCAGGGACGGCATCAAGCCCACCTGGGAAGACGCCTCCAATTCGGTGAGGGAACGACGCTTGGTGGCTACAGCGTTTGGCACAGCTGCTCGGTCCAATCGACACCGGGGCAGCCCGCGAAGCGCGAGAAAATAGATGCTCTCAAAAATTTAGAACGAACTCTAAAAAGCGTGTCAAGTATCGAGATACGATCGAAGAAGCCGGTGCAGTAGATTTCCGTGTAACGAGTTGCACTAAGCTGCGCTCTCACTAATCTATGTTGCATCTCTTCAATGCCATCATGGTTGTCTCTGAACGTTTTGTGTTTGTTTGAAGAGTCCTACCGCCGCGGACCCGACAGATCAGGGGCCACCATTTTCGCAAAGCCCCCCGCCCCTTAATCTTCTCCCATCTCCATTTCTTGATTGGGGGCGCGTGTTGTCTATCCCAGAGGGGCGGGCAGCTGCTGATACGTCTCAAGAAAGGGCTGGCGAGCCGCGCCTGGGAGAGCCTGGTGCTGGCCATCATCGGGGAGCAGTTCGACGTCGGCAACGAGATCTGCGGCGCCGTGGTGTCTGTACGGTACAGCGAGGACGTCATATCGGTGTGGAACCGTTCTGCCTCCAACACCGAGGGCATCGAGAAGATCCGGGACACCGTCAAGCGCCTCCTTCAGATACCGTCCTTCGTGCAGGTGTGTGTGGGGGGGGTACTCATAGTCGTGGCTGCCGTAGTCGTTAGACCATTTGGAAGGGGGGAGGGGGGGTCGTTGTTGTCGTTGGTGGTGTGATGTCTCCCGGTTGACAGGTTAAACGAAAAGTGTTCTTGTTTTATTTTCTTGCTTGCGTAGACTCGTCGCTGTGATTGTTGCTGATGTTGCATTTTCTCGTTGCGGGTGAAACGAAAAGTGTTCCGTTTTGTTGCTCTTCTTGTGAGAGGGCGAGCGGAAAGGGAGAAGGGTGCACCTAGCCCAAGCAACGCCAGTATCCTGCTCCAGAACCCTCAGGGTTGTCGTTGTCGCCGCGAGTCCTTGACTGTGCGGAGAGCAACGACAACGGGTATCACATCATGTTTCGTCGAACAATTATCATCGCGGCAAGGGGGTTGCTGGTCGATCCAAACCCCAGCCCACCGGTAGCGTCACACAAACTTCTGTCTCGATGTTTTGTGCGACGGGCGAAACGTAGATTTAGAATGCTGCTGTCGAGCCAGTACTTCCGCAGAGCCCATAACCAAAGGTTGCCGTGGTCGCTTTCTGCGACGTTGAAGATCACCCCCCCCCGTCCCCGCCCCCGTCCCCTCTGAAAATATCTCGTTGTGAACACCACAGGTGGAGTACAGGCGCCACCAGGACAATCTCGGGGCAGCCAGCGTGAGGGAGGAGAGGGGTGGGGGGGGATTTCCAGCTGCATCGCCGGGTTTCGGCCCCCGAGGCGGACCCCCCGGCGGCGCCTGGACACGCCACGGCAGGGGTGGCGGCCCGCGCGGGATGGGTGATCGTGGGGATGACCATCACCACAAGGTGATTGAAACATGGGTTAGGTTTCGTGGATTGGATGCGTGTACTTGAGTGGGAGTCGCGGTATTTATGTTTTGCTTGTGTTCTGAGAGCGCAGGTGGTGAACAGATATCTTGTGGTTCTGATCGGCAGAACGTCTTCCGGTTTTTACGCTGCTGAGATTGGCCTACACGCCTGCTCTCTTCGCTGCAAGTTGCGCTTACTGTGCCATCACAGGTTTTTTTTGGTATTCTTACGAAGTACGTCATTTCTGAGTCCCGCTCCCCTCCTCCCCGCAGGAGCCCTCTTGAATTTGCCCCCATTGTAGCGGTTCCGCCTTGTGACACTACACAAAACGACCCCGCGATTTGCACGTTGTCGAGACGCGGAATAGCTCCTTAACGCCCCGCAGCCCTTGCGCTGTGAAGCCTGGCCTTTCCGTTCGATCCAATCGCGATGGGACAGAACGAGGCACGCAGACAAGAAAAACCTTTTTTACTCCCCGGGCCGTCGAAAGCGCGAGGCAATTCCCACTCCTCCTGTGAGAATACAAAACTCAAGCCTAACGGAAACAACTCCGCCGCGTTTTTAACCCGCAGGACGGAGAACGCGCCGCACCCGCGGCCGGCGGCGGAATGCCTCAGGAAACCTGGGCCAGGGGGCCGCCGGAGGCAAGGGACCGAGACCGCGACGCCGGGGGGTTCCGCGGAGGGGGTGGCGGGGGGGGAATGGGGGGCTTCCGTCCCCCCCCCGGGAGGTGGGCGGAGCGGCGTGCGGCGGAGGAGGCGGGAGGGGGAGGAGGGGCGGGCAAGGACTACGGTGGGGGAGGGGGGGCGGGGGATAGGGAGAGGGGAGACGGCGGCGGGAAGGGCTTCGGGCGGGGGGACCGCGTGGATCGCGAAAAGGACTTGGAGAAGTGGGGGAAGGTGTGTGCGCGAGGTTGTGTTGTGTTGGGGTTTGAAAAAATCTGTTTTAACAAGACGCAAATGTAGGGGAAGGAGGGAGCGGTTCTGCTTCAAAAACAACGGTTGTTATCTGCGCGTATTTTGTGCTTCCGTATACATTCGCCACCTCGCTGCCGCTGTTTTTAATTTTTTGGAGGCATCGTTACTCGAGCATACGTGCGAGAAAGGCGGTGTTTATTGTCGCTTCGGCTTTTGTCTTCGTGTCCATGAACACAGGGTTATTCATAGAACACAGGGGTGGTAGTGGAACACGGGGTTGTAACGGCACACAGGGGTGCTCATGGCTTACAGGGTGTCCCCTTTCGTCTTCTTGGTACAGCACTGAGCCCTGTTTAGTGCCGGTACGTGCCCAGAGATTTAACCGACACTATACCGGACACTGCCACTATTCAAAGTAGAGAAAACATCTTGGCATTTCAGTGTGTGCGAGCCGAAAACAGCGGCACTATACCGGGCACCCGGCACTATACAAGTCCCAGTAGCGTACCTGGCGCGCTGAGGTTTGGTGGCCCCTCTCCCCTTCTGTGTAGCTTCTTCCCATGCGCACCCCGCTCTCCAGTACCCCGCCTGTCGTGAGTCAAACAACACGTGCCCGTACGTACAACATGACGAAATAAGACAACCGTAACTGTTAACCGAAACATGGCACACCGTACCGCCCATGGAACAACAACAACAACAACAACAACAACAACAACAGGTGCGGAAAGACCCGACCAGCCACCGGGACAGAGACCGGGACAGGGAGCGAGGCGACCCGACGTTCCGTGATCGCGCGGAATTCCGGGACAGAGACACCACCGACCGCGACTGGGGAAGGCTGCGTCGCCCGGGCCCGCCTCCGGGCGTTGGAGGTGGTCTCAGGGGGATCGGCGGGGGGGATGGCGGCGGGGGGGGGGACCACAGGAGGCCCCGTGAGGGCGGGGGGGGGGGGCTCCAACGCCTGGAGCGTCAATCCTCCTTGTGAGTGGTCTTGGGAGTGAAATTGGTTGAGTTAAGGAGGTGAATCTATGGGCGGTGGTGAAGGGAGGAAGAGGGTTTGGCGTACGTGTGCGTAAAGCAGTGCGTTGAGCGGTGTGATGGCCGTTAGTGCGAGCTGTGTGGTTTGCTCTAATTCTGCTACTAGATCTATGCGTACAATTTGTAGGGCAAGATCTCATGGGCCCATGGCATCCGCTGCGGCACTTACGTTCATTAGGTAACTCCACTACCGCGTTGTCTCTTCTCGTGTTCTTCATTATTTCCTTGAGGTGTACCTGAACTATTTAACTCGTCGTTTTTGCTCCCCTGTCTTCTCCATCAATGTGACCAGTTTATCATTGTCACCAGCTGAATCGATTTTGAAGCACAATAATCGGCGCCCGAGAAATGCATGGGTGTGGACTCTTTGGGATTTTGTGCGGGTGCTTGAAGGTCGAATGCCACTCTAGAACATCCCTCGCGACCGTCAGCATGAGCGGTGAACCGAAATGGACTGTTCGGGTCTGCGCATTTCTAGGCCGTCGGCGGAAACCTTCTCATTTCGTAATCCTGTTGTACAGATTGACACAACGAAGACACAGACGAATACCATATATTTTTGCGAGTTTGGAACGGAACCGCCAATGGTCTACCTGGGGTACACATTAATTGAGTATTGGTCGAGTAGGGTATAGACTTCGGTGCATCTTCTCCACATTCGTGAAGATACGGATTGTCTGCTTGCGAGAGGGCCTACCGGATGCGTGCGCATGCGCCTGTGTATGGGTTAATGGAGTTCGAGGTGTCGGGAGCCTGGGTTCGACATTTTTTTTTTTCCCGGGAGGTTTGTGAAATTGTTGTGTTGGGAGCCTCGCTCGGCCACTTGGTTTTTTGTTTTCTGTTCGCCCCGTTAACGGAAACATGAGACACTCACATTGACTTTCTGCGTCGGCGTTTTGGATCGGTGTCCGCACGTTTCGGGTGTCAGGGACGAAGGCAAAGGTCGCGACTGGGGAAAACTGCGGCACACAACCCCTGCTTCTCCTGACGGGTGAGGAGGCGTAGTGCCCCCTACCCAAGTACGGCATTGGAAAGAATCGCGCCAGTACTGCTGTTGGATGATTTTTTCAAACGTATTTTTGACCCATGCGCCTTGGTGAAGAAAAAGAGTGTAGTTTGGGCGGTACGGTTAGTGGTAATGGTCTGCCTGTGCTTCACACACCAAAGAAAATGTCAGTCCCCTATTGGTGTTTCTACATGCCCAAAAGAGAACCCAGTATTTTGTTGAACATTTGTGCACAAAAGGAAGTTAATTTTTTCTTGTGTTGATGTAGGGTTTGCGAGCCTTGATTGTGCCGTAACCCAACTATCCCCGCCCCCCTCTCGCTGCCGTGTAATGTGACAACCCAGCGATAAGAGATGAGGGCCTAGATTACACACGGTGGCCTCCTCGCCCTCGTGTTGAATGCGCCGCCGCCGCCGCCCCGCGGGCTCATGAGCTACTAGCAGCGACGGAGACACGATGTGGGATGGAGAGTGTGATTCGTCGCCTCCCTCTTTGCCTCATGTCTCATGGCAGGACACTTAAATATGCTATGTACTCATAGACTACATGATTGTAGCGTGTGTATCTCTTGTGGGAAAAATTCGTGGAAATTTACTCACGGAAAGAGTCACAGGATTTACGCGTATTTTATAGTGCAGTAGCGCTCGTTGGAAGGGGTGTCTGTATGTGCAATCAGAGGCAGGTAGGGGGGGGGGGAGGGGGGGCAACATGCACGCGCGGGACCGAAAACGATTACTTGGTGCTCGTGGGATTGGCTGCGCAAGGTGCAGGGTTCCGGTCTGGCAAATTGCGGCGAGTTTGGCGCTGACCTTGCGGAGTATTTCCAGCAGTTTCTTCCTGTGTTTATGCCTCTCGCTGCTGTCGCGCGTTGAAAACATGGGAACCTATCGCAGTCCAAATCGCGTGTTTGTCCATTTGGGAAGAAAGTTGTGCACTTGTGGAGAGTACTGTACTGTCCAGGAGGGGGGTAGCGTGTGCTCTGCATGTGTTTGAACGTTTCAAGATATAGTAGTGATCGTCTTTCGCTTAATAAGGAGAGCGTGGACGACTGGTTGCTGCCGCTCATTGCGGAGTAACGTTTGTTGAGGAGTCTTGCCGGTACAGCAGTAGTGCAGGCGCCCGGTTTTGGAAGCAGTTTAGTGACTGTGTGCATTGTGTGCAGCGTATCCGTTGGGCTCGGGGGGCTGTAGTGATTTGGTATGTTCTCTCTTGACCTTGATGGTGTAGACACTTCTTACCAGCTCTTGAAGGTCGTTTTGGTTGTATTCTGCCGAGGTGTGACATACCCCAAAAGGTTAAGATAACCATGAGCGAGCATGATTTTCCTCTCATGTTACAATAGAACCAGTTCAAGAGAGCGTGGCATGACATTCAGCGCAGGCACTCATGTGACCGCCCCATTCCAATGTAGTTGTGTTTCTTTCGATTGTGCTGACCGTCCATGACATGCCGCCCATAACCGATGTTGTTGTTGTCGTTCCGACGGTCGGTAACGCAATCCTGCCGGACTCTTTTATCAATGGATGAAAATGAATCCGCTCTGTTTTATTTTCTGTACGAAGAAATTGCATCTCCTCAAATGACGAACTTGCCACCACTTTAGACTAGTCTCAGAACCTGGGTAAGAAAGCCAGGACTCTTTCTGTTTGGTACCTGGAAACAAATTGTACACTCCACACCAACTCCTCTTCCATGATTGATGAAACAATGGAAACAAGACTCCGAGAGTCTCAACCAACAAAGGCAGTTAATTGGTGGCGCGTTCTGTAGGCATACATACAGGCCGTATTGCCAGGGATACCAGCGCATCAGCGCAACTCACACCTCGCTGCAGTAGTACCAGAAGTCCTCTGCGGGCAGCGCTCTATGTTTAGACTATTATAGTCGTTTTACGTTGTGTGCGTACATGTAGTTTCTCATGCCCTCCCCGCCGGATAGTAAAGCTCGATTAGTCCATCACGAATATGATGCCAAACTGAAGAGATGTGTTTTCGGAAAGCCATCGATAAAGCGGTCCCAACACCGCCATTGTCGGTCCCGTCACATGTCTCTGCAGAATAAATCATGGCCCAAGGGTATCTTTTCAAACGGTTCCAGAATTTGGTTCTAAATACACCGGTCAGACCCGCTCGGCGAAAGCGGCGGCGCAAACTCTCCCCGACTCCGTTGCTCCCGCGGTCGAGTCCTGCTTCCTGAGAATGGTGGCAGGGCTGCTTCCGCGTTTTCTGTGCGGGCACCTGACACCGCTGAGTTACGTGCACCCCATGTTTGCACCACAGAGCACGCGCCTACTGCGCGGTTTGCATGCACGTGGTGTGGGGCGCCCGCTGTGCTCCAAGGCATCCGGTTCCGAGACGCAAGGGTGAGTTCCGCCGCGTAGATGATGATAGACGCTGTCCGCGCGACTGCTACTGCTGGAGTGCTGTTGTTGTTGTCAATTGTGACTCATTGCAAGTCCGGATTCATTCGTTTTCTGCGCATGTAGTCTCACCCGATTTGAGACGTTCGCTAGCGTGGTGTTGCCGCTATGCTGTCTGTTGTGACACATCCTTGCGCCTACAGGCAGATCAACGTGTCGCTGTGGGACATGAAACATGAGCAACCGCCTTTGCACCAAGTACTCTTATGGTTGTAGACCGACGCTTTCTTCGACCCTGGCCAAGAACGAAGTTTTCCATGGATGTGATTTAGCCGTAGCGCCATATGGCACAGCCGCGCTCGTAGAAAATCGGAGTATCTATCAATGTAGGTGCATCCACTTAAAGTACCGTTGACAGCACTGGCGTGATCGCCGCACAGCGGTACATGTGAAGATACAATACGGCCAGAGGGTTAGCGCTTGCGTGTGTGGTGGTGTGTGCGCGTTACTTGTACCTGCGCGCTTTCGTTAGGAAAGTAGACCGAGGTTTCCACAAAGTTTTACGAGCTGTGCACCTCCGGCCTCCCAAGCACGCACAAACCCCGTGCGGACACCAGCACCGCCACACCCAATGCGACGGTAGCCCATCTTCGAAACCGGAGTTGTAGCGGTATCTCCTACCGCAATGATGCAAGAGTTGATGTGTTGTTAGCTCGACAGGTCTTGATACAACATGCGTAAGACACCTTGATTGTGATCCAGCTTGTTTCTCTGGAAGCAAGAGATGCGTCCAGAGTACATTACTACTTGCAGCCAAGGCTCTCTCACGTACCTACCCCCCGCCGCCCACGCCCGCGCGCCCCTTCCCTGGTCACCCCCTCCAGCCTTTTATCCTTGCTAGTTTTCCATCGGCATGGGGACAGGTCGCCTCTGCGTGGACACACGCCAGACGAGGAGCTAGCTTTGCCGACAGCAGCAGCACCAGCAGCACCAGGAAACACTCGCGGCGGCAGCGCCGTCGGTAAGGGCGGAGAGCAACAAAAGGCTGTTGTTGCAGCAGTCCTGCTGGGTGAAGCCCCGCGACAAACACGGCAAAGCCTCTCCCTGTAATCAAAGCCCCTTGGCCGAGGCATCACACACAGATTGACGCTTGCGAGTTTGAATCCTGTGTAGTTACGAGTTGACTAAACAGTAGCAAACCCGCTGTGAGCAAGTATCAGGACCTTTGTTTGGCTGCAGAAACGCAGCGCGTCGACGTCATGCCTGTTGATATAAACAGGACTGTTTTTTTCTTTCCACGTGACAGGTACAGGAGACGGCGGGGGTTCGGAGAAACCCGGGCGGGTAGCAGCGCCGGTGAGATCGGCAGAGAATTTTTGGAGGGGGCAGCTGGTGCCGCCAGAGGTGGTCCGGAGACTCGACGAGCTGTACCCGGTCAAGCGTTCGCCCGGGGAGGCAGTTCCGCCTGATAAGGCGCGTTTATTGTGGTTGTTGTTGTTGTTATTGTTGTTGTTGTTGTCGTTGTCGTCATCGCTGTTGTTGTGGTGCTGTTGCGGCCAGCTTTGTTGTTGTTCTGTGAAACGTTGACCTTCGGGAAACGGTGTTGGGTCGTTGTTGCCTGAGTTTCTTCTCCTGCTGCCGCTGCCGCTGTTGTTGTTGCTGCTGCTGTTGCTGCTTTTGCTGTTGCGGGCGTCGTTGTTTTGCTTGTCTTTGTTCTTCAAGTATGGGATAGTTCACGTGTTGATCGACGGTCATCGCTCACCTTTTGCTGTTCACTGCTACTACTGTGGCATGTTTGGTGTGTGTGCTTCGGTGGAGAAAACAGGAGTCCGCACCGTTCGGCTGCCTGACGTCTCTGGGGCTGCAGCAGCTTCAAGATAGGGGAGAGCAGTTCAGGCAACGTTACTCTTGTGACGACATTGACAACGCAAAGTGAGAGATCTGGTACAGCGGAAAAAGGAAAACACCATGCCTGCTGCTGATGCTGCAATCACCCCAACAACTACTACTACCGCTACAGCACCAGTCACCACCGCACCACAGTTCCTTGGTATAGCAGATGTTGAAACGAACCACTCATATCTACACACCTTTTTTCCGGGAAAAAGTCTTGGATACACGCCTGAAAGTCACGGCATACATTCCAGTCGTCCAAGTGAAGACACATACTCCCGCCTGTAAGTCAACGAACCGCAAGGGGCAGCGCTAATTACAAAGGTTACAACGCTGGGGTTAATTCCGAGGTCCAACAGCTCTAAGGACCCCGGTTGTTTTTTTGCTATGATGTACAGAATATCTTGTAGCATGGTGGATATGTTGTACGCCTTAACAGCGTGGCAAACGGGGGACGTATGATTACTATTTATTGTACCAGAAGAAGAAATCATCTCCCCAGCCGTGCCTTCCATTTCCAGGTTGGAAGTGTTCTCGACCAACTACCGCCGGACGCAGCTGTCGGCGCAAGGCTTTCTGGACGGGCTTCTAAGGGCGGGCGGGAGGGGCGGCGTACCCGTGGTGGTTAGGCCTAGAGCGGACGACTTTCTCAATCAGTGGGAGAGCCGAGGGCATGAAATGTACGAGGTGTGTGAAACCGCGATGGGGGGGGCGTTCGCAGGCTGGAAGGGCGGGCGGGAAAGCGTGGCAGAGTGTCCCCATGTGTGTCACCGTGCCTGCACCGCACGGGATGAGGGCTTGCAGACCGGGGTACCCTGCTGTGGTGTTTCGATAATTGATTCGTCAACACTTCGGACCTTTCGGGGTCTAGTGTCCCCTCCTGCGCAGGACTTTGTTCTTGATCTCGACCCGAATTTTCCCGGCACGTTCTTCGCGTCAGGTGTACACCAAAGGACCTGCACCTTGCCGACCGGTTCGCACCCCTTTCGTTCTAGTATTTTTCTCTGTTGCCGCCTTGGTTTATTTTCTCCGGCACACTGGTGATTCGACTGCGGAAAAACCCGCATCTCGCGTGAAAAACCCGCGTCCCGCGTGAAAATTCCTTCCTTCACTTCAAACCTCATAGCGCATGATGGTGGTCGAGTCCGAGCCTGATTTCCGGGTGACGGAGGAGACCGTTGGAGGACCGTTGAAGAGACGGCTTCACGCGCTCGACCCTGCGCTCTTCCCGCTGCCTCAAGGAGGGAGATTTCGGTGAGGGGGTCGGAGGCTGGAACGAGGGGAGGGGGGCGGGGGGGGGGGGGAAAAAAAAAGAGGTGACGGGTGAGGTGAAGGGTCGGGCAAGGTTTGAGTGAGAGGACGTGGAGCGTGAGATTGGGGGATGGGCGTATTTATTCCCGCACCATGAGTTCCCTTCTTACCTTCATGTCTTCCACCCCCCCTATTCCGGAATGTCGATCGCTACCCTAGGAACAATTGATGGAAGATATCGACACACAACGGGAGAGAGAATTTTACACAGCAAGGGGTTGTCAACACACTTTGTATCTTATCTAGGTATGGATGTGGTCAACGACCTAACGACTTAACCCAAGCAACAACCCAACAACTGCATTCCTCATGCTCCCTCCCCCACTCCCCATTGTCCTCTGCTTGCCTGAAAGTTGGATGATGGCTGCGGACTACTTTATGAGCGCCCGCGCTCGTGGACTGCGCGTCGCCCCCGAGCTGGATGCCCTCGGAACGGCCACGATAAGGCATCTCGTCTGGCGCTTCAGCCGGTTTTACGGGGACGACGAGATGATGCGGACCATGGTCGGGTGAGGAAAGAAGGCATGCGTTTGCCTGTAGTTTTTGTTCTTTTGTCGCGACAAAAGCTGCCGAGAAATGTGTTCAATGGCGGCTTCAGATGTGTGTAAGATGGCTTCGATGATACGGCAACGTTTGTAGCTCGGATGCTTCGATCGTTTGTTTGCCGGAGGGGTGCCTGGCGGCCTGAGTATGGCGTTAGTTGGTTGGTGGGGGCCATGTGCGTCCAGGACTGGCAATCGCAAACGTTGCGTATACGCGATACACAGCAGAGACCCATTACGCTCGATAGCAGATAGATGCCGTCCGACGAACCACTTCCCTCCCATGCGTGTGATGTCCGTCAGGGTCAAGAACCATTCATGAAAATAGTCACGTCCCGCGTACACCGCTGCTGCAAGTGTGATACTCTCAAGGCTGAAACAACTGTCGACGACACTTTCTGCTCGCCTCGACGTAGTCCTTTGCTCGCGCACATCATTGAGTGCGCGGCGGGGAGCGATGTTGCCGGTCCCGCTACAGGTTCTAGGAACGTTCCGGGGGCCGATGCGAGTGGCGGGTCATTGTCGCGCGTGGTATCCTCCAGCTGCCATGACGTCACAATCCTGGCCCTCCTTTACGCGATGGAGGCGGATCTCCTCGTAAGTGAAGCGAGCGTTCTCGAACGTTTATCTGCTACATGAACCACTTGTTTCCGTGTTTATGTGTCTTGCTTTCGCTGTCATCGAGCGTATTCATCTGCTAGCGGATTCAAACTCCGCGATTTTGGCCACGGCAGCAACCAGACGCACCCTCAAATAGCTACTCGTTTAATTTCTCGTTGCAACTCTCGCATCGATGCACGTAGCATACTTTAACCACCCGTTCGCTCGATTTCTTTTGCAGGAAGATCGAGACTACTGGCCGCCCTACGGCTCCACGATAGCGTTCGAGGTTTCCAGTACAGGAGGCGTGTCGGGGCCGGGGAGAGGGCCCCGTGGAGGACGCGGCGAGGACAAGGGGGGCGGAGGGGATCTCGTTTTGAAGATTTCGGTCGACGGGGAGCCGTTGCGATCACGCCTGTTTGCCGGGAAAGGGGGCGACGGTATCATCCCTCTGTCGGATTTCCACACGGCTGTACGAAGTTTTCTACCGACAGCTGTGTGAAAGTCTTTGTCCAGGGCATGTTTACAGTAAGAATCGTGAGTCAAAGCAATTAGTAGCGGTAGCAGTAGTTGGGTCCAGTCTTGAAAGCATCGGAGAATTTCTAGGAGGGAGGAGAGCAGGAGCCCCCTCCAAACGGAAGCCGTTGTTAGGACTACAGCGAATGTATGATCCGTCTCGTAGTCCAATTTTCCGAACCGCAAAGGACTGGTGTGGCGTGCGTATTCGTTGCGGGTGTTGTAGAAAGAAAGGCGGGTAGAACATGCCCGGCCGGTGCTTTCGCGGGCGACGCGAGGGTGCTCAAGTTGGGATGAGGCGTGCCATGAATGCAAGGCGAACCGAGGGACCAAATGGGATCCGAACCACCGTGCACATACATTGCGGGGGCGCGCAAGGAAAAGTTCATGCATGCGGAGAACCCAAAATACGAAGTCCCTGCCCCGAAAATTGTAGAGAGAGGCGGGTTCCGAGCTGGCTGAGCGATGGGCAAGGGGAACCCCTCCCACCCTCAGACCCGATCACACCGCGACACCATCCCAACGTACACTGTTCAGCAGATGGACGGAGCGTGGCCTCTCAGACCTACCCACCTGTCTGTCTTGTCTGTGTTGGTGGGGTCTCGCCATCAAGTCTTCGACTTCGCACACAATTGATTGCAACAGGCCAGAATGACAGCACAACATCAAACAAGCACCGCAAGTTATATATGCAAAAGAGACGCCCGTCTATGGTCCACCGCATTCATCTCCACGCTTCACGCGCGAGTGCTGCTCATTTGTCTGGCTGCTTTAGCGTATCGTGGAAAAAATCCTGCACCAAATGATTCTGTCCACGTAGCGTGTGGCCTGAACACGTGAAAGTAATTCCAAATTTTCAAAGAGAGAAAGAAAGACAAAAAGAGGGTCGCATTTGAAACGTTTTTCGGCCTGGGGATCGACTGGTTAGTCTCTGGTGGCAACAAATGCTATTTCAACGAGCATACATACACGGGGTCAACACAGCGGGGCTATCGACCAACTCTACTCGGCGCCTCGTCCCAAACGTTTCCCGAGTGTTCGTGACGACCTCAAGGTTTTTCTGTTGCTTTACAGCAGAAGGAAGACGTTATCTCTTGTCCACTTAAACCCCTTTGGGTCTAGGCTGGACTGTCAGATTTTTTTTTTTGCGCCAAAAAAAAAAATGAGAGCGAGAGCGAGCGGGAGAGAGAGAAGTGCAGAGAAAGACACCAGTGTACTTCTGCACACGCAACAGCTATCTCCACCTGTAGGCCATGAGAGAAGCCGGCGACACGGTGGTGGCCACAGACAGGGTCGTAGAAGGGTTGGTGGGTGGTCGCGCTGCGGTCAGTAGGGCAGGTTAGCTGTGTAGCCTTTGAAATGATCAGTCGTCTAGCTGCCTCAACTAGTCTATTTTCGGTATATTGTAAATGATCAGTCCAGAGAGGGCAAAATGATCAGTGAAGACCCATAGCTGGTATTTGTACTTCTGTACTTCTCTGTTCTCTGTCCCCCCCCGAAATGTGCCCTGCCAACTCTCTAGAGCTCCTGTGTTTGTCAAACAACAAGCACATCCACCAGCACACACCTGTACCTCGTGGTTTCCTAGGTTCGGGCGAGGGTGGTATGTGTGGCGCTACGAGTGTGGATGTGTTGCTGATATGTTTTACTCGTCTACAGCAGTAGTAGTAGTGTTGTTGTAGCGTTCGTTGTAGCTGTTGACACAATGACTGCTGGATCTTGGGAACGATTTTCAAATTGTTGGGAACCACGATATCCTCGATATCTGGGCTTCGGCAGGGACTGCAATACCCCTCCCTTTGGCTGTCCTCTGCTCTTTGCAGCAGTGGCTTCCTACGTTCGGGCGAGTGTATGTGTGGTGCTGCGAAAGAACACATATGTATGTATGTATGTACTGCTGTACGCACACACGCGTTTATTGACATGTGCATACATTGAGAGATTCATTATTTGGCATTGATTGGCCCCATTCCCATTCCCGAGACCTTGATATTACCCGCTGTCACTGAAGTCTCTTCATTGGTCAGCCGGTTAGCGCCGGTGCTAATAATCTAGACACACCTACCTATGGACTTGCCAATACACGGCGCGAAGGGCTGCAGGGCGGCAACTCCACGACTTGCCACTACACCAGCATTTGCAAATGATCAATCAATGATCAGTGAGAACGCCTGAAGACTCAAAAGTTAACGAAAAATAGCGATCAACTCAAGCGGTGGGTATAAATACACACAAACAGTTTACTGGATACACGGGTTACAGGCGTTGTTCAAGAGCAGCTCGTTCCTTTTCCGAAACGGCTCTGGGTGCGAAGGCAAAAACATGTACAGCTGCCGTCGCAGACAGCAACAAGAGACCGCATAGACCGCACGCACAGCAGTCTGGATGACACGACAACGACAAAGAGAGCAACCCCAGCGAGTTGGGCAGGAGACCCCACAACGTCGGTTCAGTGCCCTTTCAGCGGAGCCGGGAGTGAATGGATACGGATAGATATACAGCGCGAATGTGACGCCTCGGCAGGTGCCGCCGTTTCAGCCAGCGGTGTGAAAATCGATTTCTCATCACGACCTCACCGCGCTTGGCGTCAGGCTGTCGTGACGGTCTTACTTGCGCTATAGTCGTTCCAGTCTGCCGGTGAGAAAACGTAAATGGTGTAAATGCACAATCGTACACAATTGACGGCTACAGGTAAAAAATACTCCTACAAGAGGCTCAACCGCCGACACAAGACCACCGTGCCGGCGATGGACAGCATGATGCAGCCGTAGATGCCGCCGGTCACCTGCCAGAACGTTTGCGGCTTCTCTTCCCAGCCGCTGAGAAGGTTCATGCCAAACACACCTGCGACAAGACACGGTTGTTGTTGTTATTGATATTGTTGGTGGTGGTGGTGGTGGTGGTGTAGTTGGTTATGTTAGGCCGGTCCAGTAGATGGTACCATGCATAAAGATAACAAGGAAAAATATGCATAGAAACCAGAAACTCTCTCTGGCATCAAAAACTTACGGAAGCGCGAGCCATCGCACGACATCGACCGCCAAAACGCCTCTTTGGAAGGTTCTTAGGGCAGGTCGTTGTCCACTCGGCGGTTCAGCGACTTCAAAACGTTTGACGAGCGAGGCCCGATTGTTGAAATAACCAAACAACCCCAACAACCAACAAAAGCTACAAGTAGCTCACCGGTGACGAGAGCCCCGAGGGCAACGGTAAAGCCGCTGATGCTGAGGAGCAGCTCGAAGCGCAGGATGTTGTTCCGCAACACGTCCAGCTCGATCTCCACGATTTCTGCCACGAATGGACACGGACGATTCAGGTGCAACGGAGGAGGGGGAATAACGAGACGCCGGCACCAAAGGGGGGAATAATGAGACGCCGGCACCAAGGGGGAACAACGAGACGCCGGCACCAAGGGTTTGTTAGGCGCATTGCTTGCTCGCGCACAAACGCACAAGGCTACCGTGTGGTTTCGCGACGACTTGTACGATTGTACGTACGCGCGAACGATCAGTCACACACACAATCCCGGGTTGGTTTTCTGCAAACCCTTCTCGAAAGTGAGACGCTCGAATGGCCTTCAAGGCAACGAGAGAAGGGGAGAAGACATTCATAGTCCGAAACGAGAAAGAACGCCTCCCGCATACCAGTGTTGCTATGTTGAAGACTACGACGACGTTACGTTACAACAGTTTTCGAGCTACGACTGTCACACACGCTACCCCGAGTCTCATGAACCCGCGCTCACCTTCACAGGCCTACAATACCGCATCCTTGTCCGCACCATCGCCACAACTTACGGGAGACGAAGTCATGCAGTCTTTCGTTAGTCGCCCAATGGAAATTAAGTGACGCCGCGGAAAAAAAACGCACCTCCCGGGTCAGCTTTGCTCGTGAAAGCGCTTGAGACTTACCCAGAAAACAGAGTGCACGGCAGAGCAGATTACCGCTGCGGCTTCCACCACCCCAACGGCATGGGCACATATCTTGTCTTATGCGTCACCAACGTTGTACATGTCTGCTGATCTCGACGATGTTTGGGGGTAAAAGCAAGATACGTTTCGGAAACAATCACGAAACGGCTTACCTTCCGTGTTACGAACTTCGTTTTGGAGTTCAATGACGTCTGATGCCAAGAGTTCCACCTGCATTATCGACAAAATGGGAAAAGACCGACACATTAAGCATCGATAACGAAGGAGGGTTCTCGAACCAATGAAGCCAGCAGAACACTCAACACACTTTGGCCCACCTGTACTGCCGTGCCTGAAAGCTTGCCCACACATGGCACACCGTCTCACTGTCTGCACCTCTCACGCACACACGTCGATCCCGTTTTCCCAGCTGCTATCTTGCAGCTCCGTGGCGTGCGCTTTCGCTTTGGTTCGTGACGTTGTCGTGACACCTGGGACCGTTCTAACCTCTACCGGCTACCTCGATACGGTATTCCGAAAATATCCTCCCGCCAAGAGACGAGTCCCACGGTCAAGGAATCGATAACCGCCCACAGGGCATCATCGAAAAATAACACGAGTCGCCCCTTCCACTTCCCTCTCCCGGGCCTACCACGTGAAGATGGTTATGGTAGGCTTTGGATGGCTAGCTTTGGACTGGGGCCCGCTGCCTGCAAGAGGAGGTCTCCGAAGAGCATCTCAGCGTCAACACTAGGGCTGCGGCCAGGGTCAACGTGTATCCAAAGGACAAACGTACGCTTGTGTAGAATAAATCTATCTCGTAGCGCTGCCTCTGCAAAAGCGATTTCCTCGAATAGCGTAGATATCAATCTCCTCGTGTTGCCCACAGCTTGGGCAAAAGAGGCTAGACGGTCACCTGCAGGAGGTAGTTCTCGAAGAGCATCTCGATCTCCTGGTGCTGGTGCAAGTCTCTGGCGGTGGACTTGCACTCGTTGTCGGTCAGGTACATGAGAGCCATGTCCTCGTCGTTCATCAACACCTCGTTCATGCACTTGCACACCTGTCGTTTCCAGGTGATGCCCGTCAGTGTTTGTGTGAGAGGGGGGGCGGGGGGGGGGGGGGGGGCCCCCCTTTTTTCCAAAACCAAAAAAAAAGGAGCCCTTCTTCTTCTAAAAATCAACCCTTCCAAAACCCCTTATTCAAAATTTCCTTTTTACCCAAAAATTTTAAATCCCAAAAAAAATCTCAAACTCCAATTTCTTTTTTTTTCTCCTTCTTTCCCCCTTTAATTACACCCAAAATTTTTTCCCC